GCAGACTGTCACCTTCTTTCCAGTTTGTGATGTGCTGGAGGACTCAAGCACCGGAGTCTGACTTTTTTCCACATTGTGAGGATTATCTGAAGTCTGACCAAGGTGCATAGTGCCTATTTCTAAATGGTCTTCAAACTTTTCAAAGCCTGACTATAGATGTGAACACCCAATAACGGGAAAGTGTCCCTCTATTACTTCTGTTTCTTCGAGCACCAAAGCTATTGTTTGCATTACTTGAGGGCATCTGTTGCTTTTCAGTTGCCTTGTCTGAAGAAGGGCCTCTGTACTATTGCACGTTCCAATACTGCATCAAGTGATAGGGCTGGCATTCTTCGATGCTTTCTGCTGAAACTGGTTATATCTTGTGTTGGTATGTCAGTCCATCCCATTTTCTCTTCTGTTTAGTTTACTGTAAAAAGATCTGAATTGGCTGCAAGTAAAGGCTTTTGCATGTCCACAGTAAAACCAATCTAGCTGCTATTCTGGGTGCCTTACATAATTGGGTAATTGTTTTATAAACAGAGACTTTGTGCCCAGGACACAACCCAGGCAATTGAATTTCTTCCGGGCTATACCCATGATTTGGGTGAACTACAGCATGCTACTGCCTGTCATGTAGGAGCATGGTGTGATATCCGGAACTGTTATGCGTGGATGGCCTTTTAGCGAGCCAGTGGGCTAAATGACTGGTATTAAAGGTTAGTCAGTTCCATGGGAAAATACTAGTGTCTGTGCACGCCCATAAATAGTTTACAACATCTATAAACATCCTCTTGTAACTCCAGTAATCATGAAAATACATATCTGGCAAGTGTGTCCTGCTGCATACTGCTCTCTTAAATACCAAAGGCATTCCTCTTCGTAGTGAGGTCATGAGTTAATAACTAGCCACTTTCTTGACAGGAAATCTGAGGGCTGATATCTTAATGAACTTGTGTCCTTTACATTTCTTCCTTTGAAGACTCTTACTTAATGGCCTCTCCTGATTTTAGTTTTTGGAACCTAGTATTTCCAATACTTACTAGTAGAATTATTCGGAGGGTGGGGGGATAGAGGTGTGGTGAATGCCCTGTTGCCATGCATGGAACGACAGACCGATCAAATTAATCTGATACATATTTGCATGATCAGATCCTAACTGATCATCTGGTTTTGAATTTCAGCAAGCATACTGTCTGTCTTGTTTACAACTTTACTGTTCCGCGCCATCCTGATCAAAACAAATTTTTTGCAGGCTTGTGGGCTTTTTTTGGCTTGCTGGAGGTCAGAGAGAGTGTAATGTGACTTCTCTTACTTTCACAGAAGTTGGAATCCTTGCCAAGTCCTACATTGATCAAGGGGTGCTTATTCCAGATGACATCATGACACGACTAATGCTGAATGAGCTAAAAGGTTTAGATCGGTACAACTGGCTATTGGATGGTAAGTTAGCATATTGGATATCGCTGTATGTGGAGAGAAAATCTGTGGTGGAAAGCTTGGAGTGCTTTCGTCACTTGTGGGTAGCTACACTCCAGTAGCCATTCTCGAGCTGTAGTAACTGGAGACTATTTGTTGCCAGCCTGTTGTGAAACCTTCAGCAGCTAGTCTGCCCCAGTTTCTTTGGTTGTAAAATATTTTGGGTGCATCCCGCCTTCCAAGTGTTACAGGGATGTTTAATTCATGTTGAAAAGGGTAGTTCAACACACCAGTAAAATTTCAAAACTGGCAATTCTGGTAATTCTTATGCTTTATTTCCCCTTTAAAATACGCATTCAGAAGTTTCTTTTTTTAAAGCCTTTTCTTGTTAAAGTCCTTGGGGAATGGAACACTATTGAAGAATGGGGTTGAGGAATTATTTAAATAGAAAGGTAGGTATGTGATGCAGCAACGAGGTAAGTATGGAAAGCAAGTACTGCAGCAGTGCAGTGTGTAATAAATCACTAACGAAAACACGGCTTAAGTGCTCTAAAAGGTCTCTCTCGTTTGCTCTTTGGTTCTGTTCTCTAGCATGAATTGTTCTGCAATTCTGCAGCGTAAGCTCATTGCTTCAGTATTCATGGTAGAGAGAAAATGCATTTGCCACTGTCTTCATGAACTGAGTGGCTCTTGTTATCCCAGCCCATGGGAGTACAGTTGGATGCGCAGCACACGGTGTCTAGGCTGGATGTGTGTATTTTTGGATTCTAGTCACAACCTGTCTCAGTAGATAAAACTAAAAAGTTGTTGGTGTGGCTTTTTATTTAGAGGGAGTGAAAAATCCACAGTGCTCTCTGTCCCTTAGTGCTTTAATGTAATTGCTTCTGGTACAGTGATCTGTTCTGGTGGCTTTAGTCACAGTTATGTTCCTCCTTAGTGAAGACAAAGGCTTAATTCCCACAGTGAACAGCACAATGAAACCTAATCAATAAAGGAAAGAGCTGCAGATGTTTTTTTTTCTTTAGTTCCAGGTCCTGTGCACACACAGTTCCAGCCTTGTGGATCTGGATGTGCAGCAGTATAGCTGGGCACACCGGCAACTCTTAACAGCAGGATGGTGTGGAGACCGTAAGAGAATATATCAATTTCTGCTGCATGTTAATGTCCTGCCTTCTTTAAACTTTTGGAGCAGAAATTTTGTCTGCATCAGCATCTGTAATGAGACTTAGTGAATTACACTAGGATTAGCTCTGGCATAATCGTCTCTGTATGAACAATACTGTTCTGTTGAAATATGTTAACCAGAAAATCTTTGGTTTGATAACTGCAACTAAGAACAAACAGCTGAGGTCAGCTAGGTCAAACTAAATAGAGTTGCTGAGCTGCTTGTGTGCTCACTTAGCCAAATGCCATTTCCACTGCCGTACGATAGGTTGGTGGCTTCTAGAGTCATAGCAGATGTAGCAGTCTGAGTCATGTGAGTGTGGGTGTGATCTGCCTAGGTTTAGGGCTGTATAGTTAGGGCACCTTTCTCTGTGTTCCTGGATTCTTCATAATTCATCACATCTTGTAGATAGTTTTTTCTGTATCGAGAAAAGACTGTATGCAGCAAACGCTCATTCATTTTCAAGGAAATGCTTTTGTAAAGGCACTTTAATTGTTGAGGAGGTTTCTCATTACTAAGTCCCAAAGCAGACTCATTTTCCAGCTGCATAACTAAGATGTGTGGTGGCTGACTAGCTTGTCAACAGTAAGAAAAAACAGCAGTGCTGGAGTCCTGGCTTTCCCTCTGCTCTTAACATTTAGAAACACTTCCATGAGATAATGGGAACGTGAAAGAAATAGGATGAGGGCAGCTGATGGCTGTGATGCAAACCAGCTGCATCAGACTTAATGCACAAGCAAGAGCTTGATCTGAGTTAATCAACTTTCTTTTTGTGATGTGTGAAACAAGACAGTAGCCTGAAGACCATAATTTTTTTTTTTTTTCCCCTGTTGTAAGGCTAGTTCTTGGCTGGTTCTTTACTCAGGCAATGGACTCATCAACGAATGTTATGCCAAGAAGAGTTAAGAAACCTATCAGTACTTGCCTTTATGGAGAAGTTTACTTGTGTAGCATGATGAAAATTACAAGCTACTGAATAACATGATGCTGTGCAAGAGCTTTGTGGGTAGAGGTATTATTCCAGTGAATCTGTGGCGCAATAGCATGTTCTGCAGTAGCTTTGACCGCTGAAATTCTTGTGGTCAATCTTTCATTTTAAATGCTTTGTGGAGACCTTGGTTTTCTCGTTCTCTGTTCCTCTCCGCCCCTCCCCCCCCCCCCACCC